CCCTTCTTCTTCTCAACAATGCCCTGGGGAATAAATTGCTCCACAATCTGATCAATCAAATTCAGGCTTTTTAAAAGGGATAGTTTGAAGGTCAGCTCTTGAGATTTGTTCTGATCCCAAGAGAGCTCCTCCCCGCTGTCTTTCCCCATTTCTCTCAGCAAACTAGCCTGCCCAGGTTAGTCTATATTTCCAATGAAGCTATCATGCTCCTGCCAACTGTCTTTCACCACAACCTCCACTGTTTTTGAGAGCCCCCTTAAGCTTGAACTTCTCTTGCAAATGCATTCAGTTCCTTTGAGGAGATATTCAGAGCTCTCTGTTCTATAGCCTGCCTCTCCCCTCTGGCGCAAAATCTCTGTGCCTCGGCTCTGGTCTCTGGTGTTGGGGGCACACTTCTGAGTGAGGTGCCCACTTCCAAAGCTGAATGCCTTCTCCTTTCTTAACTCCTATTTGTTCCTTATGAGCCAGCTCAAGTTGTTCAGTACCCTTCCTCTGTGTTCTTTTGTATTGGACGATGGCCTTGGGATACCTTGATTAATAGCAGCATGAACCAGTATCTTATCATAATGGGTTGTGTTGGCTGCCTTTCCCTGACTGCAGTCCTCTTGAGGGCAGGAAACATTTCCCATTCCCACACACGATGCCTGGCTCAGGGCAGGCACTCTAAGTGTGTCGGATTTTAAAGATGAGCTTCCTGACAGGACGAGCGTGGCATCCAGAGGCCGGGAGGTAAAGACTATCATTCTAATTTTCAGAACGTCGTATGAGCAGGAAGGTAAGAAATGCCCCCCATCTGCCATCAAAACTGGAGCCAATTCCAAACTCATTCCTCATTTCGGAGGCACACTGATGATTTCCAACTTTTCCCTTTCGGACCACCCGCCCTCGCCACCTGATGGGGAAAATAAAATAACAGGACTCAATGTTGTCCCTTCAGGGGAAACCTTTATTGTAACATAAAATACACTATTTTGTGATTGCCCCAAGTAAAATTGTACACAATACTTTTCTGGTGGCTATATACTAATCTGCCTCAACACTAAAATATGTATCTGAAATAATTTCACAAAGTTTTAAAAAGAAAAGTTATAAAAAGTATACTTCCATTTTGAGTTATATTCACTTTGATTCCCCACCACCCCCTACAAAACCCTGCACATCGCACACATGGAGCTGGCACACTCTGGTGACTCGTGTGTGTCTGGGAGCGAGCGAGAGGCGGAGGCGGAGGCGGTGGCGGCTTCCCACGGCCTCTTCTGGTTTGCAGGGACAGGGAGGAGGGAGAAAGTGTAATGCAGATAGCGAGCGCATCTTTCAGTCAAAAATCTGTCCCACAGATAGGCACAGGCTCAGGAAAACTGAGGACAGTTCAGCAACTGGACAAGCATGGGAACCCCACACTCGGTACCCGCCCCCCAACCCCACTGCCCACTGCAAAGTGAGAGCGCTCCCTCAGCATGCCCTAGGGCTGGGTCCACTACCAATCTGAAAGTGGTCCATCCCTGAGCCCTGTCCCCCCCGCTGGGACAGTGAGGCCATCACCGTGAGGCAGGTGTTGGTGAAGCCTGAGTGACAGGCAGGCGGGGGCTCTTTGAGACTGGGTCTGAGAGCAGTCAGGCTTCCTTTTCACCTTTCCCCAAGACTCCCATCCTCACAGGTGGAATTTCAATCTAATCCTGAGGGGTACGTAAAGGGCTTAGCAGCATCCTCTATCAATGCTGGTATCCATGGAGGGGTCAGCCTGCTCCTCAGAGGCAGAGAAATTCTACTTCCTGGCATAGAAAAATAAATCAGTGTATGAAACCAAGCCAGGGCAAACAGCAGCTTTTAAAAAGTCATCTTCCAATAAATAATTTACTACAGAGAAATAGTTTCCTTTAACATCAAAACACTGATAAGTTCAGAAGTTATTTTTGTAAAAAAAATATGTTTATTTACTTACATGTATAAAAATAAGGTTTTTAGGGCCATTCTCTCCTGGGCATGCTCATGTCCTTTTGGAGAGGGGTCCAGAGGTGGCCTTGTAGGCCTAACCCAAAAGCTATACCTGCTCCCCTCTCTTCCCACCTGCCTGCCATAGCCCATTCCTTCCTTCTGGTATAAGGCTATGGAAGAAACTATGGACAAAATTATGCTGAGGCTTTTTGTTTTTGCAGCTTCCCAAGCTTTCAGCAAACCCGCTGACTGCGTTTCCCCAAATTACCAATGCCTGACACCCAGAACCCTGCACCAGGTGGGCAACAACACCTGCTGAACATGCTGGCCCTGGGTTCAGGCCACACTCCTGCCACCCACTCCCCGAGACATAGTGCATGAACAGTGAAGGGAAATGAGGTGACCTGGGTATGAATGGCACGGGACTTGGCACAGGAAGAAAGAATTTTGATGTCAAATTAAGGTGGGAAGGAGAAAATAAGTCCCAATTTAGAAACAAAAACACCATTCAGCATTTGCAAAAAGCTGTTATCAATAAGCCTTCCAGCGCGGAGGAAGGATGGGCAGACTGGACGGCAGCTTCCCTGGGCGACAAGGCAACAAACACTCTGGGCGCCTGCGAGTCAGGGCTGGGCATTCCACTCCGGCCGCAACACAAAGGACATCAGCACTGTAAGCTTCGGTTGCGTGACCCTCTCTTCTTTCCTCTAGCTCATCTGCACATGTGCGCACACAGAGGAACTGAGTGAGAGGAGGAGGGCCGGAGACACAGGGAGGGAAGGCGGGACGGAGAGAACAGTAAGATGGGTTAAGTGTTATTTAAAAAGCCACTGCCCATCCGAAGACCCCGACTCCCCTTGACCCAAAAATCCTCCTATGTTACCCCTTTTCCCATCGCTACCCAGGGAAATGGGGTAGGGGGAAAGGGCAGGGAGGACTGGCTTTCTTTGTCGAAAGGCGGTTTCCACATTTCAGAAGAAAAGCAGAGATAATCATGGTTATATAACAATTGCTTTGGCAGGCACGGCGACAGAGACTCACCAGAGAGGGGGTGCTTTCTCCTCTCTTTGTCTTTTTCTTACTTGAACAGCCACATGGCAAAGTTCAGCCACCCTCAAGACACAGGGCCAAGTTCTAGGGTCCATGGAACTAACTGCCTTTTTGCACGAGGTTAAAACCACCACAGCCTCTGTTTGTGGCCCCAAATGCTGCAGCTAAACTCTGGACAGCAAGGGGGAGAAACACCGCAACGTACAAACACACACACGCACACACACACACACACACACACTCCCTTCACTGGTGCCACCATGCACAGAAACACTAAGGTCACAACTAGTATTAACACTTCACATTATGAGTATTGTTTCCAAAGAGAAGCGATTCATGGAATTAAAACATCCACAAGAGTAACTCCTCCGGCGAGGATGACGAAGCTGAAGATGGAGATGCGAGGTCACGACTGCGCATGAGGGATCCACTGAGTGTCCATAGGTCGGCCTAAGAGTTCCTCCACACGGCGCGCCACGTCCATTGTGTCGTCCAGATCAAAGTCCCCATCGGTCTCCAGGCCCGGGTCAGGGCTTGGGAGGGAAAGGGAAGAGATGAAGGGGAAGGGAACAGTTGTCAGGGGCCAATGATGAGGAACAGAGAACACCCCACACCCTGCACCCCGCCAGGGGAGCAGCCAAGACTGCCTTTACCCTCAGCCCAGGCTTCACGGCGAAAAGAGCCACTTCTGATCTCAACGCTTGGGAATAAAAGTCCTTCGCTACCTGGACAGAGAGACTCAGACTACCCACCCCCCACTAACCACTATGCTGTATACCTGAAACTAATACAAAATAGTATTGAATATAACCTGTAATTGAAAAAAATAAAAAATTAAAAAATAAAAATACCCCCCCCATCCCAGCTGCCCCTAACACTGGCTCTCCAGACACATTTAAACCCCATCTAGTCCTTATACAGAACAAGAAAAACATCCATTTGGGGAGCAGATGATATCTGCCCAACCCCACTCTAAACTACCAACATCTTCTGATCAAATCTCTCCCTCTCACCTGAGCACATGCCAGAGCCCAGCCTTGGCTGGGTGGTCTCAGACCTAGAGGAGCTCGGGATTCCTTGACCCACCAGCCCTCCAGGGGTCCCGCCCAAGGCCAAGTGCCCAGCCCCCCTCCCCAATGAAGCCCCATAAGAACACAACCTACTTCTGTGGGTACATGTTGTAATGAGTCGGGGGGCACACAACAGGGGAGGGGGCCTGGTCCATGTAGGTGGCACTGCCCCCAGCAGCGTCTGCAGATGTCACAAACCTGGAGGAAGAAGCAGAGCACAGCCTCAGCAGCCTCAGGGCAGCAGCTGACTTGGGGAGGGGCTCAGGGGGCATCTTTATGCCTTTTTTAAGTAGAAGGACAAAGTGCCCACTGGGTGTGGGGCTCCAGCTGCAGGAGTGGGGCCCTGGGTACTGGCCCCATGGTGACCACACCCAGTTCCCTCCCCAGGGCTGAGTCAGGTTTTAGGGGGAAGGGAGCGCTGGGCATGTTAATGGAAGAGGGGGTGACCCTGAGGACAGCCAGGGGAGAAGAGGGGCAGCAGGAGACCAGAGCTGGACCCTGGACACTTACTCAGGGACCACTTGCTTGATCTGCGGCTTCACGTATCCGTCCACTGCTTTAGCTGCCGAGGGGGGAATGGTGATGAGAATCAAAGTTCTCAAATGAAATAAAAATAAAATCTCCCTTATGAATCACATCTTTTCTTAGGATAGGACACAGCCACCTAATTTTGTCTTAGGATCTGATATAAGCACTTAACATTTCAATCTGTTAGGACGACCTGGCATAGAAAAGCCTTGATACTAAAACTGCCAGTGAAGAGATGTTTCAAGTTGGCTTGGATGTGCTTGTAAACTCTTCAAACCACAGAAAATATATACGTCAATACAAATCGAAATCACGCAAAAGATATATAAACAGTTGTCGGGGGTCGCACAGAAAACTCTAAGCATTAGAGAGGAATTAATTTGACTTGATGATCTCAGAGCTTACTCAGAGTATCTACTCTTTGGGAAAGGGAATGTCACTCAGGTGTCTGCGAGCTCTTTCATGCCCCTGGGGTTTCTGCATTTGGGGGTAATCTGATGGTCACTCATTCCAGGGAGGGCAGTCTATGCCTTGTGGCTGGTTGGAAAGGATGCTGGTGTGTGTGTCTCTCCCACTCTCCGCAGAATCCCACTGGGATGGGGCCAGCTAGGGGATAAGCCTGGAAGTGACCTGGTCAGCCATAGTTACAACTTTTTAAAAGGCTGATTATGGAAATCCAGTTAAGTAGTGGTAGGAATGTGACAGTCTGAAGTCGGCGAATGAAGTGTTGTTTCCTGGGAAGGCGAGTATGGGAATAAGTGTAATCCTGACTCTGTTAGACAATGAATGTACCACTATGGTCAACAGGATGCAACAGCCTGAGACACTGACATGCTACATGGTCCACAAATTGTTTGATATCCTAACCTGCTTCTTCTAGGCTTCAAGTGCCAGGGGGGCAACCTTTTCATAACATCTCATGCTTTTTGTGCTTTACAGTCTACAGAGAATTTTATAGATTGACAGAAAAGATAAAAACCAAAGAAATGCTGTAAAAAAATAGGATTTAATAATCTAGATTAGCTGTGTTAACAAAAAACAGCAGTGAGATATATTTAACCCAAAATACCATATAAATCTGAAAGTATTTTGGCTTTTAGAAATATAACCATCATGTTAGGGTGGGAAGGCATGGCATTTGGAAAAAGGTTGACAGACTGGGCTATCCAGCCCAACTACAAATCCTTATAAAACTTACATGTTAAAAGAACAACCACACGCTGAGAAAAATATTTGCTATATATAATCAAGGGTCTATTTACTATAGAAAACTATTTAAACATCATTAAGAAAAAAAGGGACTCGACAAGAAATATATGCAAGGGACATGAATGCACTTCACGGGAAAAAGTACAAATGGCTCATAACACGGAGGTTAAGAAATACAGGCTCTGGTGCTAGACTCTCTAAGCTCAGTCCTGGCTTGGCCTCTTCCTAGCTGCGTGACCTTTGGTCAAATTGTCTGCTTCTCTGTGCCTCAGTTCCTCATATGTAAAAGGGGGACAGTCATAGTACCTACTTCACAGACCTGTTTTGAGGATTAAATGAGATACGACATAAAAATGTGCTCAGAAAAGGCCTGGCACTCGGTAAGCATTCAACAAATGTTAGCTGCTCCTAGCATTCTATTTATCATTATTGGCATTATCATTATATGAAAAGGTGACCTTACCTAGAATCAAAGAAATGAAAACAAAAACTGAGACAGCAGTGTTATGTCAATCAGAGCTGAACACAAAACCGGTGAGCTGAAACTATGATTGGCAAGAGGATGGTGAAGCAGAGACCCCAACAGACATCTGTGGGGATGCAAATGGATTCTGCTTTCTGGAGCACAGCTCTGCCAATTTGTGGGTCTAAATGCCACAAATTCTATTTTAGGAAATTATCCTAAGGAAATAGTTGTACAAGATGCATGAACCAAGCTATCTCAATAGTAATCATAACAAAGAACTGTGAGTAACTTCAATTATAAGTACTTAAATAACCAACATGGACTAGGTCATGTGGAATCACCATACAATGGAATTCTACACAATCATTAAAATGACGTTGTAAGATTATATTTACTGACCTGTAACTCTGCCTATATCTTTAAGTAAAAAAAAAAAAATCAGATCACAACAGCTGATGTACGGCATGATCCGACATGACCTGGCCCCTTCTATTGCTCTGCCCTCATCTCTCTCTTCCCACTTTCCCCTGCTCCCCCAGCTCTGGCCTCCGGGGCCCTCTCGAGGGTTTTCAAACACGGCAACCTCATTTCCATCTCGGGGTTTCTGCATTTGTTGTGTCAGCCTAGAATGTTCTCCCTCTAGATCTTTAGATAGAGCTTCCTCACTTCATTCAGGTCTAATCTGACATCAACTCCTCAGGGAAACCTTCCCTGGCCACTCTACAGACCCTGAGATGGAAACGTGGTTGGCGTGTTTGGAAACCCTCGAGAGGGCCTGGGACGCCAGAGCTGGGGAGCGGGGGAAAGTGTGGTAAGGGCAGAGCAGTAGTGAGATGCTACGCAGGTCCTCCTCCCTGTCACTTCTCCATCTCTTTAACCTTGCTTATTTGTCTTCCCGCCATCCATCACTACATAAATATATTTCTTTACTTATTTACTGTCTTCCTTCTATTAGATTTTAACCACCACACAGCAGGTACTTCATAAGCATCTGGGGACTGACTGACTGAAGAATACATATCTACACAGATTGGAAAAATATTCTTTAAATTATTTACAGTGGTTAACCTCTAGATGAGAGATGTTGGGTGATATCTATTTTCTATACTTTTCTGGAAATTTTACAATAGATACAGAAAACCTTTATGCTCAGAAAATAATACCATCTCTGATTTGAAAAACAAAATTTTACCTTCCTAATTTTGCTTGATCTACGCTTGTGTTAAAAATGATTTGTTCCCTTCGGTTTGGTATTTGGGGTCAGTAGCAGATATGTTTTCTGTATGACTGAAGAATACAGCCCAGAATTTACACCTGCCTTGGATGATGCCCGAACGGCAGTAACTATAGGCTGTTTAGATTTCCACGCAAGACAGACAGACATGCACTCGCACAAATAACTAAAACATAACCAAAACACAACAAAACCAAGTCAGAATGCGAACATTGTTACCAGTGGCAGGCTCGCATGGAACTGGTGTGTAATATTTGGAGTACACTTCATCTTTCGGCCGATCAGGGAACACGTAGATAAGGTAATCCAGGTCCCCTAGGCGGTCGGCCAGGGACCGGATGGAGAAGTCTCTGGTGGTAAAAGGCATCAGATTCCAAAACATTCTTTCCTCTAGATCAATAAACAGAATAATCATATTCTAAACGTGATTTATGAACAAGAAATCTTAATACCCAAATATACTACAAATTAAAGCTCTCTGTTAAAATTGTACCAATAAAAATCTCCATTTAAAAATAACCACGGGTTATAGATCAAATAGCTGTTTTTATTTTTTTAATTAACTAATGTATTTTTAAATGTTTTATTGATTTTTTTTTTTAAGAGAGAGAGAGAAAGGGAGAGGGAGAGAGAGAGAGAAACATTGATGTGAGAGAGAAACATCTGATCGGGTGCCTCCCTCCTGTACCCACGGGACGACACTCAACTAACTGAGACACACCGGCCAGGGCGCAAGTAGCTGTTTTTAAAAGGGTAGATAGCTGGTAATGCATTCACCACTTCCCTAGAGAGCCAATGATCTCCCTCAGGCAGCTTCAAGTTCAAATGGTACTCTGTCCCTTTCTAGAAGAAACTTCTTATTGACTCCCTGATTCCCTGTACGAAAGTATATGAGAGAGAGAGAAAACATGTCCATAGCCAGAGGACAGGTGAGCACTATTAAATGCGATTAAAGTCTTTAAGTCACAAAAAACAAACTTGGAAGCTACTCTTACCTTATTGTGAGGGGCAGAGGAAAGAACTAACATTCTTGGATGAAAATGGTCAATGACAATATCCTCGTGTTAGTTAGGATAAAGGAATAATTAAAATAGCATATTATCTCTATGTGAAAGACTCCAATTTATCAAAGTAATTCTTCACTGAGACAAGCTTAAGGTTGAGTAATAAGGTGAACATTTCAGAAGGGAAGCAGTGGAGATTTTGGACAGGTCGCTATGTCAGGGTTATACGTTTGTGTTTCTCAAAATTAGTGCTTGTGCCTGGCTGGGTGTGGCTCAACGGTTGAGCATCGACCTATGATCCAGGAGATTGCAGTTCCATTCCCAGTCAGGGCACATGCCCGGGTTGTGGGCTCAATCCCCAGTCGGGGGCGTGCAGGAGTCAGCTGATCAATGACTCTCATCATTGATGTTTCTCTCTCTCCCTCTCCCTTCCTCTCTCTGAAATCAATAAAGATATATTAAAAAAAAACACCAATTAGTACTTGTGTTTCCCATAATACAATTTTATACAGGCTCCGGTATTATCTGCAGCTTGGTCATAGTTACACATCTGTGCTTCCCATAATTAGTACTGGCCCCAACAAATGATAAGTACTCAATAAATTTCATGTTAAAGTAATTTTGCTACAAAAGCAGTTAGCTGGAGCCATCTTGGCTCTGCTCTTAAAAAGGGAGGGGCACTCACGAGAATCAAACTTCCAAGCAATGGTGATCCCGCCAATTTCAGAGTCGCTGAATCTCAGCAGGAAGGTCCCATCGGGCTTGTTAATGAGAAGATCATGGGCCTGTTGCTTATTCACGAAACCCAAAATAGCCCTGGATCACAGGGGTCAAAGGAGCAGAAGCAGAGTGTGATTGTTTTTTAACAGCAGAAAGACGGCCTTCTTACTCTATCACTGACTTAAGAAATGACGATTCTCACCCATCATTCCAATGAGGCTTGAGATGCTTTTTTAACACTTCCATCACACCATCAAACCACTGCCAGAAAGTGTAATTCCGTCCTGGTAAATTCTCCTGGTTGGAAACACATACAACAATGAACACAAGAAGGCAAAAGTTAACACTTGCAATATTACCTATATCTGTAACTAGAAAAGCCAAGTGGAAAACAGGCCTCTACCCTGTCAGAATCATACAAATATAAAGACCTGCTTGAATTTTCCCAAATAAATGGTCCTGCAATCAAAAAACAGAATAGAGGGGGAAAGAAGGAAGCAGGGAGAGAACAGCTCAGAGCAATTACCAGCACCCATGGACCCCCGCTACAAACACCTGGCACCGGGGCTGACCAGTGCTTTGCTGTTTTTGATGTGGAATCTGTGACCAGCAGCAGCAGCATCACCCAAGAGCTTCTGAGAAAGGCAAAATTTCAGGCATCATCTCAGAGCTGCTGAATCAGAGCCTGCATCTTAGCAAGGTGCCCAGGGGGGTTGTAAATTTGAACTGGATTAGGTCACACTGGGAGGCCATAGAAACTGCTCCATCACACAGCAGTTACCAATAATTATCAGCAACATGCAGTTCTCTGATTCTAGTGAAATTCCTGCTTTCCTCATATCAAAACTCCTCTGACTGCCAACAAACATGTTGGCCAACTGGTTAACACACACCATTTAAAAGAGTTAAAGACTATGGCATCTCAGAATTAGGGCATTTAAAACACCGGCAGGGGAGGGGTATAAGAAGAGAAACAAAAATTAAATTTAAAATCAAAGATGTGACAGGTGACATCTGAATTAACAGGTGCTTACAGGAAAAGTTTCCTTCATCGGACTTTGGTGGGTTGAGGGTCCCAAGGGAGCCTGACTTTGCACCACACATCAGGGCACATCAGAGTCAATGGGACAGAACTATAATGTCCTGATCGTGACCAAAGCCATACTTCTCATGAGTTACGCTTACATTTGCCTGGCTCTGTTTCCTTTATAAAATGCACTAGCTGTACACAAAGGCCAATTTACTGAAATATTCAAAGATGTCATTTTCTACATAAAAAGTGTGTGGTTGTCTATCTATTCAGAAGCTTCCTATTACTTCAGGTGCATTTTATTAGAGACAGGAAGCACAAGGGCCGGGAGAGGGAGACTCCTGAAGGCCTCTGGTTTGGAGAGACTGATCTCACGGCAGGCGGCAGGTGGCAGCAGGCGGCGGGTCCCTCACCCTGTTGAACTGGGACCAGGACACGGACATGCTGTTGTAGTCCTCGAGGTGGCTGCTGCTGCTGTTGAACAGTTTCTGTGCCAGGAACAGGAGGTTCTCCTTGGTCAGGCCCCGGTTGCTCTGCACTTCGGCCTTGAATTTCATGTTGAGCGCTTCACACAGCTGCGGCCACAGCACTTTGTCAGGCACGGCAAACGGCACCCTGCCCTGGGAGGGAGAGAAGCCAGAACCTTATGAGAAAACAGGTGCATGATTTATTTCCTCAACCCGCAAAAGAAAACATCGATGGCTGGACGGAGTTACGTACGTTGGTCTTACTGAGCCTGGGGATAACTTCCAACTTTCATGGGGTGTGCGGCTGTGGGAAACTCAGAAGGTTCAGTTTACCTCCTTTGCACACAATGTAGAGGGTAACCTCATGCTGTCTCAGGTGTTCTGTAAATGAGCTGCTGAGCATATGGCCCAATCTTACGTTTTCATAGCCACAAAAACAAAACGTGACCGAGGTCTGGCTCTTACACTGTAAACTCAGTGGGAACAGAAATCCAAAACACTGGTTCTCTAGGTACAGTGAGAGAGAGCGAGCACACATGTGTGCACAAGTGTAATCCTTGCCTTTGACACCTTCTGCCAATTAGAACTCTGGCTCAAAGTGAAACATCTTCAGGAGGAATAGTAACTGTGAGTTAGCTTTATTAAAAACAGGTTAGAATACGAATTTTTAATAAACTGTTTTCCATTCCACTCAGCCACAGTACTTCAATTATTATAAAAATATTTTTGAATAGGCAATTACTTCACATGATATAAAATTTTAAAAGTACACAAGGTGATACAGTGAAGTCACTTTCCTATTTCTGTCCCCTAGAAATCCAGTTCCCCTCCCCAAAGGCACGTAATCTAGTTTCTTGTTTATATCTCCAAAGATATTCTATGCAGGCCAGCAAATATACATACTTTTTACCCTTTAAAAAATATAGATGGAGGCATAAAATCCACATGTTCTGCATCTCCCCTTTTTTTCACTTAATACTACATCTGGGAAACCTCACATCAGCATAAAATGAAATTCCTCCTTTTCTTTTGTGGCTGCTGAATATTCTACAATATGGAGGAACAATAATATATTTAACCAGACCCCCATAGATGGACATCTATGTGTCAGCCTTCAATCTTTAACTAAGCAATGCTGCGATGCACTTACATCACGACATATATATATATATATATGAATGTATCTATAAACTCCCATAAGTATGTATTTATTTTAAAACAGCACGAGACGTCCACTGGATGTACATAAGATGTACACTAACATACTGAAAATGTTAAAAATGCTTATTTATTTAGACAAGATACTTTAGCAATGACATGTTGCAGGAGATGCCAAAGTGGCCAGGGCAGTGAGGTCTATGGACAGGCAGGGAAGGAAATGAGAGATGTGACAATCCCATCCAGGAGGCTTATCAGGACAAGATAGATCATTTTTAAAAGCAGCCTCAAACTCAGGGTTTGTAGCATAGCGTAGCAGAATTTCTGATAAAAATCTCACCTCTGCAGCAAAAATATTGTTCTGTAGAGAAAACTGTTGAGAATGTAAGACTGTTCACATTAGAGAAGAACATACTTTTATGTCCCAATAACAACTATAATCCTTTAATCATGCGTTTATGGGTTAATCTCTACTGGAAATATGCAACATGTAGAACTGTGCCTAGTGAAATGTCTTAAAAATGCTCAAGTGGCAAACTGGTGGTATTCAAACAGTATCTCGGTGCATAAATCCAGGAAACCATATTTTTACCCTTAGACAAAGCATCTCCTTCTTCATGAGAGACCTGGGATGCATCACAGAATCTAAAATTTGGAAAATTAAATGTCACCCTCATTTATTGGAAGGAAGATGACAGGAAGCAACTTCTATGCTAAAGTAACCTCCTGAGAGGCCTCACCTCTAGAAGGAACCTGGGAGTCCTAATTTCCACTTATGTTTTCACCCAAGGATTCCAAACAATATTTAGTGATTATTGAATATGTGACAAGCATTGGGTATGTTATCTAATTTATCTTCCTAACACCACTATGGAACATTATTATTCGGGGGATACGTAAGCTCAGAGAGGTAAAGTGAATGTCCCATAGTCAGACTGAAGATGTGGCAGAGCCTGAATTGAAACCTTGGCCTGACTCCAAGCCCATCCCCTTTCTATTTCCTACACACACTTTATTCTGTCCCCCCACCAAGAAAAACAGCATTTTTTTCTGTGCTCTTTTAGGGGATAACACATGAAAGAGTTTCACAACACCAGCATCAAGATCTTGAGACCCGCGGGCCCAAGGATTCCACTCACAGATTCTGCAAAAGCATTGTCCCAGAGAACAGTGGCCGTCGCATTGTTGTCCTGGCTGCCGTGGACAATCACCACCACCGGGAGGGACAGGGTCTGCAAAGACACAGGAGAAAGGCTGAGCGCCCACAGGCCACACATTCTTACCCTTCTCTCCTTTTTCTCAGTCACGACGTGCTCATTCTTCCTTCCAGTTTCAGTAATTGTCACCTGCGGACACAGAATGTGAATGGCTCTGGGAGTGATATGACTTTCCCACAATCTTAGACATTTTAGAAATATTAAGAGAGATTTTATTAGGTATTTCTGAAGGATGGAGTAAATTCTCTAAGTTACATGGAAAATGAGAGAGAAAAAGAGAGTATGGAGACATTTTTTGGGAGGAGGGGGGCAAGTAACAAATGTCTAAAACTTACCACAACTGTTACTTAGATTCATCCTGAGTGATGTTTCTCCTGATACATTTTCTACCTGTATCTCCAGCTATTTCAGTTCATTATTGTTTGTTGGTTCTTAAGAGAATCTAAGAGACACAGTGCTAAAGATGAGGTCTCCTCACTTTCTATTCATCAATAACCAAAAAGAGGAGACTACGTGACCGAAGCAATTCTTCTGTGATATAAAGTGCTCACACACACACTCACACACACACTCACACATTGCTGAGGGAGGGCTTTACCTTCACTTGAAAAACCAGCTCATTTCCGCCAACACTGAACTGTGATTCAAACAGGATTGTAAATTTTTCTTCGGTCACTGACTCTGCTCCACGACGGTCAGACCTCTTAATTCGTTTCAGGGACTGCAAAAGAGAAAATTAAGGTGAAAAAGTCCTCAGACGAGTAGGGAAAATCTGTTCTTCCTCTGCCTCCGTCCTTACCATGTTTCTGAAGTGGGCGCTGAGCGTGCCTGTGGCCTGGTGATACTCCATCACACAGCAGTTGTTCAAGATCTCTCCACTGTAATCACTGCAAATCAGAGAGAGAGGCAACTCTAAACCCACCCAGGGGCTCAGCTCACATGGGGTGGAAATGTGCTTGGGGTAGGAGGAACCACGGAAGGCTCTGAAAAACTTGTGTCATTTATAGGAAACGTTAGCTCCACAAAAGGTCCAAGAAATAAATAGACATAAAATATACAAAAGTATTCCTATTAAGTAAAATTATATCGTACGATCTTTACAGAAGAATCCCCTTATCTTCTTTCTCTGAGAGCCAGAAGAGGCCAGATGGGTTAAGGGGACTCCAATGTCAGAAAGGCTGAGCCCAGACGGCTTCCTGGGAGGGCCGCTGCTGCCGACTGCATGGACCCGCGGAAAGGGGAGACATAAGGAGGACACACGTACTTGCGGGTGTTCTCATTCTTGAGCAGTGACTTGGCCTGCTGCTCACTGATGATGGTGGCCTTCACCTGGGGGGGGTTCATGTGCACGTTCAGCTTCCCACCCACCAGCAGGCGCACGGTGGCTGCAAACTTGGTCTGGGTCTTCAGGACCTGAGGGGGCTGCTTCTCAATGATGAACGTGCTGCAGGGACACAAGTGACGAGATGCTGCCTCAGGGGACAGGGGACAGGGCATCCTCCATGTGGGGAGGATGCCTCGCACAGGGCTCAGCAGGCAGAGGGAGAGCACATGGTGGAGACCTGTTCCCAGGACGGCCACTGAGAGTTGAGGGGACGGTGGGAGGGTGGCAGTGAAATGAACTTGGCAGCTGGCACAGGTGGCCCATGGAGCGTTCACAAGAGAAACTGGGAAAGGTCAACACCAAGCAGCCACAGCAACTGGGGACAGAGGGGATGGGCGGTGGGGTAGAGAGAGGATTCAAGCACCCCCTGCCTCTCCCATGCCAACTACAGGGGGGCTGGGTGTGGCCAAGAGGCTGCAATCACCTGGTCACCAGGGCTGAGATGATGTCAGTGATGGTGGCATTGACCTCAGCCAGCATCTCCTCCACTGGGCCGGGGATGGGCAGCTGCTGGCAGAGGTGCTCAGCTCTGCGGATCTGCTGCCGGTTCTGCCAGATGATCTCGGCCAGCTTCTCACACCTGCGCATGAGCCCCGAGGCCAAAGGGAAGGACACCAGCTTCACCCCATCCCCCAGGCCAGAGGTGAAAAGGCTCCCAGCCTGGGGAGAGCCCCCCAAGACCCAGCTCCACCCTCACTCAGGAAGGCTTTTCACTTTAGCCACCACTCCTGTCCACGGAGCAGAGCAGAGCTGCCCTGCCTTCCAGAAACACAGGCACACAAAGGAGGCGGGACCCCGATTTGGACCCCACCAGCCGGAGCTTCACTCTGCACATGCCTTGCCCCACCCCCAACACAGAGGCTTCCTTCTCAGGGAAGGGGCAGGACTGGGGCACAAAGTCTGTGTCAGGAACCAGAACCACTGGGGAAATAAGACCTGTCACAGGACAGAGCAAGTGGCTGCATATGGAAACACAGGAGCAGAATAAGCAGCTGGTAGCACCGCCCTGAGCCCCTGCCCACCCG